CTTCCGCTTGGTCATTTTGGATAGTCCCTGGCGTGGTGAGGACCTGCAGGGCACTTCCCCTGTGCTGTGGTGTATAACTGGAGTTGGTGGGCGGAGCCGCAGTCAGACCTGATGTCTGCCCCCAGCCCACTGCTGGGGCCACAGTCAGACTGGTGTGTGCCTTCTCTTCCCCTCTCCTAGGGGCGGGATTCACTGTGGGGTGGGGTGGCCTGTCTGGGCTACTTGCACACTGCCAGGCTTGTGATGCTGGGGATCTGGCATCTTAGCTGGGGTGGGTAGGCAAGGTGCACGGGGGCAGGAGGGGCAGGCTTAGCTTGCTTCTCCTTAGGTGATCCACTTCAGGAGGGGCCCTGTGGCAGCAGGAGGGAGTCAGATCCGCTGCCGGAGGTTTGGCTCGGCAGAAGCACAGAGTTGGGTGTTTGCGCGGAGCGAGCAAGCTCCCTGGCAGGAACTGGTTCTCTTTGGGATTTTGGCTGGGGGATGGGCGGGGAAGATGGCGCTGGCGAGCGCCTTTGTTCCCCACCAAACTGAGCTCTGTCGTCTGGGGGCTCAGCAGCTCTCCTTCCCTTTGTCCTCTAGCCTTCCCGCTTTCTGAGCAGAGCTGTTAACTTATGACCTCCCAGACGCTAAGTCGCGCTTGCTGTCGGAACACAGTCCGTCAGGCCCCTCCGCTTTTTGCAAGCCAGACTCGGGGGCTCTGCTTGGCCGGCGAGCTGCCCCTCCGCCCCGGCTCCCTCCCGCCAGTCCGTGGAGCGCGCACCGCCTTGCCGCCCTTCCTACCCTCTTCCGTGGGCCTCTCGTCTGCGCTTGGCTCCGGCGACTCCGTTCTGCTAACCCTCTGGTGGTTTTCTGGGTTGGTTAGGCAGGTGTAGGTGGAATCTAAGTGATCAGCAGGACGCCCGGTGAGCCCAGAGTCCTCCTACGCCGCCATCTTCCCTCCTCTCGATTAGTTGATTTCTTTCAGTCGGTGAGGGTTCTGGAGAGAAATTCCTTATTTTTTATTTTTAAATGTTTATTTATTTTTGAGAGAGCACGAGCAGGGGAGGGGCAGAGAGAGAGGGAGACAGAGGATCCAAAGTGGGCTCTGAGCTCAAACCGGAACCGTGAGATCATGACCTGAGCTGAAGTCAAACACTCAACGACTGAGCCGCCCAGGCGTCCCCACAATATTAATCTTGATCATTTCTTGACAATGTCGTTAAAAGAAATTTTAATTTCCTTCCTTATGCTTTCAAAACTTTACTAAATTGTGCATGTATTATTTTTATAAGCAGAAAGAAAATTATCTTTTCAAACTGCTCTGCAGATTGTAAACTATTCCTCAGCTTAACCCTGTATTTTTATTGTTGAGTCATGCTATATTCTACTGCACTAACTTCACAACCCCATCAGCTGGATTCCCAAAGTTCCACCCGCATGGCTCAACTCTGTAGCATCCAGAATGCACATGAAGCGAGCAGCTGACTTACGGGTGACTTCTCAAGACGTCATGTGTCAGGAAGCAGAATGAGCCAGAACTGGCTTCTAGTCCCCATCCGCCCCCTAATAGTAATGCAAGGACCTTGGAAATCCCTCTGAGCCAACTTCTCCCATATATGAACTGAAAGGTTGAGCTGGATGACCCAAGGGCCCATCTTGCTTGAAATGAGCTGCCGGACCTAACTGCAGCAGAAAGTTCCAGTCACCATGAGTGTGAGGTTACTGCAAAGAAGCTCATGAGGCAAATGATTCTCATTCAACAGGAAGTGGTGAAAGCCAAGAGTCATAAATATCCAAATATATGTGCTGTTTTATCTCAGAACAAATCTCTCAGGCAAAACAAACCTATTTTGCCTGAGAATCATTTGCCTCAAGAGCAAAACTTTGCACTAACCTCACACTCATGGTGACTATTTACATTTACAGATGTAAATACAGCCCAAATATCTACAGTAGTGGAAATGGAGGGTGAAGGAGGGGTTCAGAAAAGAGATCAGTAAGGCAGTCTTTCAGAAACATCAAATTATATAATGTCCCAAACATAGACAAGGAGTTCACTGCACACCCAAAATTTAAGTATAATAAAGTCTGAATTCACCTGGATCATGAAGTGACTCAAGGATAAATACCAGGAATGATTACAATAACCTGAATCTGGACATTTAGTCATAGAAAATATAACCTTTAACTTGGATGAGATTACTGACATGTTAATTTCTTTTTTTTTTTTATTTTATTTTTTTTCTTTTTTTTTTTTTTTAATTTTTTTTTTTCAACGTTTATTTATTTTTGGGACAGAGAGAGACAGAGCATGAACGGGGGAGGGGCAGAGAGAGAGGGAGACACAGAATCGGAAACAGGCTCCAGGCTCTGAGCCATCAGCCCAGAGCCCGACGCGGGGCTCGAACTCCCGGACCGCGAGATCGTGACCTGGCTGAAGTCGGACGCTTAACGACTGCGCCACCCAGGCGCCCCAAGTTAGTTAATTTCTTAAAACCATGTAAGTCACACATAAATTCACCGTAATATAAAATTCAAACAACATAGATGAACACAGGATAAGAACATGAAAGTTCCCCTCTGGTCTTACCTTCTGGCATCCCACATCTCTGCCCACAGATGACCTACATTGTAGACCCTTTTTGTTTTAAATCTTCACACGGTTCTTACCTATCTCTCCCAAAGCACTACAAGAATATCTATAAATATCAGATGTCTTTGTTCTGTCACATTTAACCAAAAACTTGACAAATTTCTTATTAAAATGAAATCGTTCCTTTTCAAAGAAGAATCCATTCTTTGGATTCTACAATGGATTCTAACCATTTTTCCCTATCTGTTAATCTTCTTATCTGTAAAATAACAAACAAATCAACACGGATATTAAAGGAAGAAATGCTATTGGGACAGCAAAAACAGCACAGAAGCCTCTCTGTGTGCACAGCTTCTGACCTCCCAGACACAGACATATGCAGACCTTCACTAGCTCAGACTCTTGAAGCTCCGAAGATGCCCTCAGCTTAGTTACCATCTGAAAATACATCCAGTCTGTGGGAGCTTCTGGAAAACAGTATCACAGCCCTTCCTTCTCCACCCATCTTCTCAGTCTCAACTCTTCCTTCTCTGCAAAACTACTCCCAGGCAGAGCTGCAGTACAAGAAAAATCAGGTATTCTGGAGGAGCGAGAAGACCAGAGATGCCTCTCAGATGAGAGATCAGTCCTGAAGCTCTCATTATTTAAATGCTGACATGGAAAATGTATTACTGGAAGCCCAAGTTTGTGGAAAATCTGAAACTTGATGAAGGTTTTTTAGCGATCGCTTATGTGTGGAGACAATAGAAAATGAAATAATTTAAAAAACGAAATATAGTTAACCAAACAGCACACATCCAAAACATTATTGAGCTCGGAGAAGGGAAATGATGGAAATGATGCTTTTTTCTTAACACAGAGGAAATATGCTGTATCTACTAATAAGAAATATTTATTGAGTGCTTACTATCCTAAGCATTTTACATAAGTTAAACACTTTAATTTCACAACAAACCTACAGGAAAGTATTATTATCATCTCCATTTAAAAAATTTTTTTTTCAACGTTTATTTATTTTTGGGACAGAGAGAGACAGAGCATGAACGGGAGAGGGGCAGAGAGAGAGGGAGACACAGAATCGGAAACAGGCTCCAGGCTCTGAGCCATCAGCCCAGAGCCTGACGCGGGGCTCGAACTCCCGGACCGCGAGATCGTGACCTGGCTGAAGTCGGACGCTTAACCGACTGCGCCACCCAGGCGCCCCTATTATCATCTCCATTTTAAAGATGAGGAAACTAAAGAACAGAGAGCTAGTAAGCTTCATCTCACAGGATCTGGGCTCTCCCTCCCAGTAGCAAAATGGCTGGAGCAGTGTCAGCCCTCACATCTCCTCCCTATACCATCCAGAGGAAGAGAAGGTCTCTACTAGAATTCACACTCTCATTGGCCTGATGGTGTCACGTGCTCTTCCCATGTGGACAGGGAGACTGGGATATGCCAATGAGACTAAGCCTAACAGAGCCACCTGAATAAGTAACTGGAGGCAGGGTCAATGTCACCGAAACTTCCTGGCTGAAAATGGAGGTAGTAGGAAAAGGGAGATAATGGATCCTGGAGAAGTGGCCTTCTCTGAAATGTCTACCATAGTATTCATCAACCAGAAAAAGCACAGAAAATTTCTCCAATGGTACCATTATAAACAAACTCTTATTGGCACTATTTGTTCTGGAACAGTATGTCCTCCAGCAATTACTTTTTAAACAAAAGTCAAATTTTTATTCTATCCTTTGTTCCCCAGAATCAATTTCTCCCAGAGACAAAGGTAGATTTGTAACACATGCTGGGCACTCTCAGGAACATATGTGATAATACTTTCTTGGAAAATTTGATAGTGCAGAACTAGAACTACCTTATACCTTTCGATTAGAGGAAAAGGATGATTTCAAATAAGAAGATTCTTTCTACCTAGTCGTCTTTTATGCATGTATTATTTCACCCCTGAGTTAAGGAGTTAGTGCTTTGCTTACACACAAGCAAAGCACACAACTGAAATCAAGAACTGTATGAGTCCTTATGAAGTACTCAGAACTATCTCTGGTTTTATTCTAAACAGATAATTAGCTACCCAATTTCAAAGATGTTCTCAAATGAAGATGCCACCGTGTTCCTCGGGAACACATTTTAAAGTTTAATGATCTTTACTATCAGCAGGACGCCCGTATTGAAACTACCATTGAATTCAATTTAATACAATGAATATTTGTTGACTATGGAGTACCTACTACGTGACCATCCTGAGGCTCCCACCCGTGTCTCTGCAGAAAACATCCTCCCCATTAGCCTTCACAAACCAGAAGACCAGGGCCAGCTGTCCACAAGTTAATCAACATATACGCATTTGAGTAGCTGTGCTAGGAAAAGTGACATGCAAACAAGCGTAAACATTGTCTTCAACCTCACCTCCCCAGGATACTTGTTTGCATTTCATTTTCCTGGTCCTCCTGTTTCCATGGCTTTCCTCTGAACCTCCTGCTGGTTTTCCACTGCTGTGATAAATAGATATCTCACAATTGAACTCGGAAGCAACCAAATGGATCCTAGGAAAAAAAACAGTGGCTTATTTGGGGAAACAGATTCCCAACCACAACCCTTTTACATTAAGTTGTGCTTAAATGCAAAAGAAAAATAAATACAAAACACTGAAAGAGTAAACATAACAGATATCAACTAATAATCCAGGGAGCAACACTCCATATCATTAGTACCAGGCATGACTAATCTGATAAAGCCCTCAGCTCACACCAGCTGTCCATAATCAGAATAGACTAGCAACCATTCCCAGGCCTACAGTGGGCACACAAGCTGCTGAGAAGGGCTGATTCTATCAAAGCCTAAGCAGCTCCAAAGTTCATTCGGTTCTGCTCCTGGACAAGCTTCAAAACCATTTTAGACCTCTCCAAGGGGCGGTAAAGCTCCAGAGCAGGTGTATTAGGGAGTGATTGAAGTCATCTCATTTAATGCGAGAATCCCTTTACAACCATGGCCAGCCATTGATCCAGCACGGTGGAGCCCGGCAGGGCCGCGCCTGTGACCTTGGCCATGTTCCCAGTACTGGGAAGCCGTCCCCACCACAGTGTGTCCAACCCTCCTTCCGGTGACAGGGCTTCAAACAGAGGAAGACCGCTCTCATGGTCCCTAAGTCACAGCTCCCGCTGTCTTCTTCATAGAATATCTGACAGCCTGCATACAGTTTGCATCTCTCTCTCCTTGTCACTTTGGCTAAGCAAGTTCTGTGATACAAAATCTAGACTTTTTGCAAAAACTTACCTACTTCCTTTTCTGTCATATTCCTTGTGTGAAAGGTGTTTATATTTACTTTGTACTCACTCCGAGTTGAACGAGTGAGTGCACCAGTATATATCATAAGAAGTCTTTAACCTGAGGATGTCCTTTTCGTCATGAATCAACATTTATGCTGCTTTGTGCCTATTTAAACTATGCTCTGCCCATTTCCTCTTCCTTTGAGTCTCTCTGTATTTAGTCTTCTCCACTCAGCCCTTCTTGCCCTGTGGATTAAGGTCAGGTAGCAAATACCTCTCTTCTACATCATCTAATTGATCGTGCTGGTGTGACATTTCAATCTCTGCTTCATCGGGAGAAGCAGCTTCATGTGACATGGCAATGCTGTGGGGGGGAAAAACAGAAATAGAGAAAGCCTATTAACCTTCAGAAAATGATAGTACATTTTGTGCTTCTTTTACCACCTGATTATTTTCTAAGCAGTAAAACTTTCAATTCATTAAGCCCTAGGTGGGTAAGTGATGCTTTATCCAACAGAGAACATGAGATACCACTTTTAAGTGATTTTCTGACATTCACACACACTGGGAGAGATTGGACTGATGACCAACTATGAAAACCACAGACCTGAGTTCCCAACACTGAGGTGCTCCGTCTAGACATTTCTACATTGACATTTACGCAAAGAACAGCAACGTGTAACTGCAAAAGGCAAAATTCAGACCTCATCTGAAAGACCTGGGATTATAACCCAAAGTACCCAATATAGACTCAGTTTCTACTGTGTGTGGCAGCTTTACTTAACTCACTTATCCTTACAAACATCCTGTCAACATCTGGAAGATGGGCTCCATTTTACAGGTGAGATCCTTGAGGTGTGGACACCTGTGACTTGTTGGAGCTTACGTGTACAATGGAACTAAATTAAAAACAAATCGGTCACTGAATCAGCATAACACATCAAGTGTTTCTCATAATCCCTCCTCTCTGAGATCTAATATTACAAAATGAACTTCTGCTTTTACCTACCTGAGATTTTGACAAGCAATCAAAAGCAATAATCACGGGGCGGGCTGGGTGGCTCAGCGGGTTAAGTGTCCGACATCCGACATCAGCTCATGATCTCGTGGTTCAGGACTTCAAGCCCTGCTTCAGACTCTGTGCTGACAGCTCAGAGCCTGGAGCCTGCTTCGGAGTCTGTGTCTCCTTCTCTCCCTGGCCCTCCCCTACTTACATTCTGTCTCTGACTCTCTCAAAAATTAAACATTTTTTTAAAAAATTTTTTAAAAGAAAAAAGAAAAGAAAAGAAACAGGGGAATAAGGATTCCAAGAAGGCTGCCAACATATGCTCTGAAGGATATGTCATGAGGACACTGCCTTGCAGCCAACCCTGACCTGGGCCTCAGTGGCTTGAGGGCAAGAGAGAAGCCATCATGTTCTGCTCTTCATGCAGGAACACACCACAGGGCTGTCGTAGCATCTGCTGGTGGCCACCGGTCCGGCCGCTGCTTGCTGCAGAGACCTGACTCCAAAGACCTCTCTCCACTGCGAATATAGGACCATCCGAAATATGGAAGCCCCAAGACAGTATCCAATTTCCCAGTATCTCTGGGTTGAGGTATGAAAGCCCATTCTTTTAAAAATGTTCCAGGGAGAGGGAGAGACATTTTTTTTTTCTTTCTGGTTTTTTGAGAGGATTGAGAAGTTTCCCTCTGAAATTTTTGTCAAAAAAAAAAAAAGAAGAAGAAAAGGAAATCCTTGGGGTGGGGATGCTATTGTCCTTCTGAAATTCTGTGGGTAGTTTCGAACCTTCACACCACTTGCTCCCGTATTGATCACATGAACATCGTGAACCTTTTTTAGGTAATCAAGCACAGAACAATTTTCTAATCTCTGCTTTGCCATTTTCTTTATAATTGTAGGCTAGTGACATATGTTCTCTCATCTGTAAAATGGTGATAATATTAGCCTACTCCAGGGAGATTTTGTGAGAATCATAGAAGAAAAGCCTTTAAACCCAGTTATAGCAACCACCCCCATAGACAAAAGTTGCTAAGGGATTGGGGAGGGGTGGGAGGGAGCACAGAGGGAGTAGGATGATAGGAGGAAACACCGAGAAAGCAGCCCAGCCCACTTCTCCCCCAGTGATAGCATCCCAGCTTATTTTCCCCTAATACAAACTCTCTTTTACATCTCGGTCTTCTGACCCAGCAGTTTCTCCATCAGACCTCCTCCAGGTCCCAGAGACTATTATTTCCACATTAAGTGCCCTTGCTGAAGATTTTGTTTGAGATTCTCACATTTCTATATATGCCTTGCTGCTTTCCAGACTACACAAAATATGCTAATGCCACGGTTAAAGATCCTTTCATTAAGAAAAGTATAGTAACGTGGAATCTGTTGATTTTTCACCTTGGGCATCAATTATATTACTGTCCATTTCCTGTTTCAGTTTTACAATGGTTGACAAGCTCCTAAGCCCCATATCAGTAGTAAAGGCAAAGCCGGTCTACAGGGCTGACCATCTGGTAATTCTTATACAGCCAGCCAGCCTCAGAGGTAAAAGTATTATCCAACATTGGAGAGCTAAGGAAAACAAAACAAACAAACCTCTGAACCCCAATATGGCAGAATTTTGAAAAAATAAAACCATACCTTGGTTGGATCTTTTTTTTAATGTTTATTTATTTTTGAGACAGGGAGAGACAGAATTTGAGCAGGGCAGGGAGTGGGGGGTGGGGGGCGCAGAGAATCCGAAGCAGGCTCCAGGCTCTGACCTGTCAGCACAGAGCCCATCGCAGTGCTCAAACCCACGAACCATGAGATCGTGACCTGAGCCAAAGTCGGACACTTAACCGACTGAGCCACCCAGGCGCCCCTTGGTTGGATTTAAAAGGAAATTACCTAGGGGAGCCTGAGTGGCTCAGTTAATTAAGCGTCCAACTCCATTCAGCTCAGGTCATGATCTCACGGTTCCTGAGATCAAGCCCAGTGTTAGGCCCCACCCGGAGAGTTTGGAGCCTGCTTAGGATTTTTCTCTCCTCTCTCTCTCTCTCTCTCTCTCTCTCTCTCTCTCTCTGCCTTTCCCCCTGCTGTGCACACACACTCTCTTTCTCTCTCTCTCTCTCTCTTAAAATAAATAAACATTTTTAAAAAGAAAAAGAAAAAAATGAAAAGAAATCACCTAAAGAAAAGAATATTTCTTTCGGTCCACTTAATAACATCTAACTACTGAAAGCACTTAGTTTGCAGTGAATGTGTATCAGTGATTATAGGTCAAGCCATTAACAGAAACTCAGGATTCAAATGTAACAACTTAGAATGTGCCCTTTTTTTTTTTTACCATAAATGTCAGTGTTTTCATAGAAACAAAAACAGAAGACAAACAAAACAAATGTCAGGGTTTTCAAACTATTGGAATAGGTTTTAATAGAAATCACTCTAAAAAGTTAACTGTATTTGTATATGAATTGAATGTGCATTAGGGGAAGTTAACTGTATTTGCATATGAATTGAATGTGATTACCCCACTTTTTAATTAAATTTTAGTATCTATGGTGAATTTGATCAAGATTTTTAACCATAAATATAGCTAATTTCTAGAAACAAACCCAAGACAAAAGATATACTCCTCAAGTACAAAATCTGGTAATTTTTTAGTTTAGCTTCGCAAGCCTCAAAAAATGGCCTAGACTGGATAATTATATATTCATTCCCCTCTTCCTTTCCAACTACCTACCTGCCTTGTGTCACAAGCCAGACTCTTCTACACTTGTGACCCTTTTCCTTTCAAAAGACCGGTGGTCCTACAGTAATTTCAACCCCTCCCTCTCTCTGCATTTCCATCCACCTTTTCAACAAGTATCAAATTAATGATCTGTTCATCTCTAAGTCACCATTGAGGCACCCTATAAATCAACAGATGTGCTTTTGATTCAATACATTACCCTCTCTCCTTCTCTGCTAGACGTATAAAAGAAATTATTCAGATTAGGGAAATTATTTCCAGAAGAGAATCATCAAAACGGTGTTTCGCAGCATTCAAAATCCACATCAAGTCTGTAAAACTTTGGTTGTAAAGTATTGGTTAAGTGCTACCATTGCAAGATACTATTTATTTATTTATTTTTTTAACATTTAATTGTTGTTGAGACACAGAGGACGAGCAGGGGAGGGGCAGAGAGAGAGGGAGCCACAGAATCCGAAGCAGGCTCCAGGCTCTGAGCCATCAGCACGGAGCCTGATGCGGGGCTCGAACCCACCGACTGTGAGATCATGACCTGAGCCAAAGTCAGATGCTCAACCGACCGAGCCACCCAGGTGCCCCGCAAGATACTATTTAAAAGTAGCATAGGCCTATGTATATACACAAATGCATATAATATGTGTATTATAATATAATATAATATAATATAATATAATATAATATAATATGCATTATTTGCATATGCATATACAATAACTTAAATGTAAAGACACAAATATATACGATGGCAGTAGAGATTTACGTCCGTGTGTGTTTAGTATTTTTGGCAGCTCAGTATTCCCATTTCCTTCCTGTAGGACACACATTTTCTTTTGGAGAATTACTTCTTTCCCATTATATTGCATTGGCAGAACAGTAAATCCAATGCCTCAATCCCACTGAGAATGTCACATTAACCAGCTTTCCCCACACTTCCTTGGAAAAGCCAGAAGCCCAGAATATCAGCTGTTGTCTTCTAGGATTTGCATCTTATGTGAGAGACACTGAGATGGAAGAAGCTGTTGGAATTCCATAGTTCTCACCCATGGTGCCTGGACATGATTGTTCCTGGTCTGGAAACACTCCCAGCACCCAGAGCAGCCTTAAGTAATGACTTACCAAGCCTGAGTCTCAGCTTTCCAGTTGATGTGCTGAGTTCCTGATAAATTTCCCTTCTTAAATTGTCCAAAGTCATCTTCTGTTGCCTGCAACCCAAGGACCCCAATCATTACAGTTACTTACGAAACAAACACTGAGTAAGAACACACATTAAATATATTATTCACATTCGGGGTGATTAGTATATATGTATAGATGCATTTTGTTGATCAATGAGTAAAGAGGATCAGGGAAGTTGAATTTTCAGGCAGGAAGGTTGTCATGAGCTCTCTCCAGGAGAATAAAAGCTGAGAAAATATCTTTCTCTCTCTCTCTCTGTGTGTGTGTGTGTGTGTGTGTGTGTGTGTGTTTCAGATACCATACATATATAACCAGTGGTATATTCTGAAATTTTATTAATACCTTCAATGGAACAACAATTAAAGTTGGCAGCAAGGATGTTTAATGAGAACTCCACTAGCAAAAAAGTCAGTTGCCTTTCTGTGTTGAAAAATTTTGTATTTTATGCAGCCAGTTAAAAGAATATCTCATCCAACTATTCAATATATGTGAGTTTATTATGCACAAATGGCTACGGATATTTATCATCTGCCCTTTGCGATCTTTTTTAACAGCTACTAACTATCCTGATGCGCCCATAACACCCCGTTAGGAGATTTCTTCGCTTTGTTGATGCAGAGCATTAACTTAATGTTGCAGAATTTAAGGTCTTCTCTTTTATAAACTTATCATATCCTTTTTCTCCCTGTGCAGTTAAGTCTGGTTTAATTATCTCCCAGAAATCAGTAAAGGTACTGTTTTTGCCTTTGCTTGCCCTTAATCCTTATCTGATTAAAGTGTCACACTCTTAATTGGGCTGTGTGTACCTCAGCCTCTTCAATTCCAAATATCGAGGGTGGCAGCAGGACACCTAGGACTGGCAAACGGCTCACAGATAAGCAGCAAATGCGAGTAGTGCACAAAATACCAGTCCCTCTTCTTGGTGCCACCCTGCACTGCCACCCCCCCCCCCACCCCGCACCTCTTCTCTTTCGCCCGTCCAGCAAGGAAAGAGGAGAGATTTTCAGAAATGGAGAGGGTGTTTGACACCTATTACTCTCCGTTCAACAGGCTGGAATCTTTTCAATCTTGCAAGTCTTTGAAAAGAGTTCAAGTGCTATTTGATTGAAGCCTTGCAGTACTGACAGGACAGGGCTCACTAAAAACCTCAGCACCTGAAAAGGAAAAAGAAAAACATAGGCCCCTCTCAACACATATTTTTTAAGAAAGTATGGATATTATTGTGATCCTTTTACCAGTGAGTGAACTTTGAAGATGCCAACAGAGAGAAGGGGGGAGGAAGGAGGAATGAGAAGGAGAGGGTAGGGGCAGGGAGAGAGAGAATTTCTCTTGCTTCCAAGTGGGAACAATATTCCATCAAAGTTCTTTTCCCACCAGTAGGTATATCCGGGGCCTCCATGACAAAAGGCACAACTGTGACATAAAGTTGGTGGAGGAGATGACTGGTTTCAACATTACCCTCAGAGCTGGTTTCCTGTGGGGCCATCATAACAAAGCACCACAAAATGGGTAGCTTAAAACAACAGACATTTTTTCTCTCAGTGTGGAGGCTGGAAGTCTGAAGTCAAGGTGTTGGCAGGGCTGGTTCCTTCTGGAAGCTCTGAGGGAGAATCCATCCCAAGCCTTTCTCCTCACTTGCCAACAGCCCCTGGCATTCTGTGGCTCACAGCTGATTCATTCCAATCTGTGCCTCTGTCATCACATAGCACTCTCCCTGTGTGTCTATGTGCACAAATGTGCTTCTTCTTACAAGCACACCAGTGAATTAGGACCCACTGTAATCCAGGATGACCTCAACTGAACTTGACTACATAAGCAAAGGCCTTATTTCCAAATAAAGCCACATTCACAGGTACTAGAAGTTAGGATTTCAACATATCTCTTTGGGAAACACAAATGAACCCACAATACCCTCCATAAACAAGGTAACCTTATGCTATTTCCAAGCTATTCAGTGTTCATCTTTGTATGTTCAACCGTTTCTAGAACCCACAATGGTCCACAGTCAGTGGCGACTACTCATGGTGTGCCCTTGCATGGGTGTGCTGCCATAATTTAATTTAAACGTTATAGAGTAGAGGACGATGTGCTGTGAATAAGAGGTAAGGAACATAATTCATCTGGATCCAAATAAAGGTGTTTGTTCACTAGAACCCATAAGAATTTTTGCCTTGTGGGTATATCAGAGGAGTTCAGGGCAATCAATCAGTCTACCAAAGTGGACACTACTGGGGCAAACTGGTGAGCAGTGTGGGGGTGGAGAAGAATGTTATACACACAGGAGGCATGATTATCCTGTGACAGAAACTGCACTGTAACTGTTATGCTGTTCTGAGACTCTCAGTCTCTTCCAGTGTGCCATCAAATCTATTGATGCCAAACATCTTAAGAACCTCTGTTTTCAATTGGAAGTGTAGATCAAATGTTCCAATGTCATCATCTCTCCCACTAAATAATATCTTCATAATTTACCTATTGCTTAACTCAGTTGCATTGTCTGAAAACAAAAATCTCAGACTTAAAAGGGAAATTATTTGTGGCAGCTGAGAACTTTTTCAAATTTATCCAGTGATTTGTTTAATGGTTATAGGAAAATGGACCCCACTCAGGGCTTGGATAAAATCACCCAAATTCACCAGAAAAACATTGTTCTCAAGAATATACATCTCAAGGATACATCTACAGCTTCTAAAGAGCCCCTAGGAGGATCTTCCCAGGATACAACCTCCAGAAATTGTTGGGGAATCGGAAATCCCATCAACAAGGATTTGTTCTGAAGATGAGTGAAGAGAAATCTGACACAATGGAAATACTCACCCCACACAAAAGTGAAGATCTTATAGAGATTCCTTTATCAGGTATTTTTCCAACCAAGAGAGCTAGAAGTAAGCTCAGGAAAGGCACCTGCTGGAAAAACACAAAATGAAAGGCAAAGGTACCCGATAATGTCACCTCCTTCATATCTGTCCTGGAGGGCGGCCCTGTGACTCTTCTCCCCATGGAGCTTCTGGAGAGCATGTTCCTCAATGACATTTTACATAACATGGATGATGGAGGGGACCCAGGAGGGAGGATGTCTGCACAAATACTCTCTTAGAGGGAAAAGTTACATTCAGTGAAGGGAAATGAGGGAAAGAGTAAAGATCAAGAGAAAAGAAAAGTGTTCTGCTTTTGCCCCAATGGTCAGCTTCTCCGTCTCTCTTCCACCCTCTTCTCTAACCTGCTGACTGCTGAGTCTTATGTGTTTGATCCTGCAGGCCAAGTGAACATTGGGTTGAAAAATGGGAGCCCAAGGCCCAGTGGCCTTCCACCCCTGTCCACAGTCCACGACAAAGCTGTGAAGAAGATATGCCCGGTGCCCTGCTGAGACTCTGGGTCAGGTGCAGAGATTTCACCAACTAAAAGCCAACCTATGAGACACATAAGTTTACAGAAGGGAGAAGGACCCCAGACATGTGAACAGTGCTGAAGCTCTCTGTCCTGACCACGCCTTTACTTCTCTGTCCTTCAGAAACCTGCTCCTATTTTGCTCTACAAAATACTCTAGCCAGAACTTTCAGGCCATTTTGCTGAGGCTATACCCAAAATAACACATCCCCTCTCACAGGACACTCTAATGCTGCCAAATTAGTTGTGCTTTTCAACATAGAGGTGCAGCAAAGCCATCTTGGGGTCAAGACCGCTGGCCACATTCCTAGTCTTTCCTAGACACACACTTGGACCTCTCTCATCCAGTTCCCTTGGATCTATATAGCTACAACACTGAACTCTAACAAGGGGATTATAAGGGATGTGTACCACTCATGGGTCTGGTCCGTGGAACTTCTGTGCACAGTAATCTGTGCTCTTTCCACATCCACTGTCCTCATGCAACAAACGAAACCACTTTGGAAGCCACACAGAGAGGATGGCAGAGCCCCATGGCAGAGCGACAGGGTACAAGGAGGCTGGGTCTCTGAATCACCACTATGAAACTCTGATTAAATAACACCTTTTTGGGGGTGCCTGGGTGGCTCAGTCCGTTAAGCATCCAACTCTTGGTTTTAGCTCAAGTCATAATCTCATAGTTCATGGGTTCAAGCCCCACAACAGGCTCTGCGCTGATGGCACAGAGCCTGCTTGGGATTCTTCCTCCCTCCCTCTCTCTCTCCCCCCCCCCCCCCCCCACTCATGCTATCTCTGCCTCTCTCAAAATAAATAAACAACAACAAAAAGACATCTTTAAGGGTATTATGTAAGCAAGTAATAAACTATTATGTGTGAGTCATTATACATTCTTTACTCCAATTTGTTTATTACTGCAATGAGTCTACCTTCATTAACATGCACCTTCTTTCTGAGATGCCTACCACAGAAGCTGTGTGCTTTCTGACACTGTTTTTCACTAAAGCATTTCATTGGGCAATTGTGCTTCTTAAAACACTGCAGATGGTATAAGAAAGTCTTCCCCTATTGATAATAAAACTTTGTTAAATAATAGATGTCTATATTATCGTGCAGAGGAAACAGGGCAAGCTGTAGAGTCAGACTGAGTTTGATCTATTTTCCACAATATTCTGCCCAGGTGATTAAATATCAACTCACTTTATCTTTCTGATCCTAAACCCTTCTGTGTAATTGGGACAACTAATTATCCCAATTAATTATTAGGATAGAGTTGCAAAGAGTAGAGTTTAAGGAGTAGATGGGGCGCCTGGGTGGCTCAGTCGGTTAAGCGTCCGACTTCAGCTCAGGTCACGATCTCGCGGTCCGTGAGTTCGAGCCCCGCGTCGGGCTCTGGGCTGATGGCTCAGAGCCTGGAGCCTGCTGCCGATTCTGTGTCTCCCTCTCTCTCTGCGCCTCCCCCGTTCATGCTCTGTCTCTCTCTGTCTTAAAAATAAATAAACGTTAAAAAAAATTAAAAAAAAAAAAAGGAGTAGAATCAAGGCACTTAATACGGTGCCTGGTACACAGTAGATTCTCAACAAATAGAAGCTGTTCTTATCACTATTAACTATATTTACTAGTATTGACTCGATTGTACCCTTTAGGTACAGGAACAGTATCTGATTCATCCTTTTAACTCAGCATAAGTATGAGTTCCTAGAAGACACAGGTTATATCTCATTTATCTTTGTATCCCTACATCTAAAACAGTGACGGTTACTTCTGAAGGCAAGCTACTCTTAGTATAAACATTATTATTCACTGTCACCTCCAAAGCATGGACTGCATCTATAAATCTGTCTCTGGAATCTATAAGGGTGAACTGTACATGATAGGCCCTCGACAATAGTAATTAGTAAACTGATTTCTCCAAAAAATAAAAATAGATTAAATAAATAAATAGACTCATTTCTCTCTGGTAGGTAGTTACTGTGATTCTGGTCACGGGGACTGGTGGGAGGCAATGGTCTCTATAGAGCAGGTGGGTCTGTGAGGGCATCTGGATTCCAAGTCATTAGCATTCTGGAGTTCCCAAGCCCCCTGTACCACATATGTGGCATTTCTCCCCACAACCACCAGAACATTCTGAGTGGAGCATTCTCGGGGCACCTGGGTGGCTCAGTCAGTTGAGCATCCGACTTCAGCTCAGGTCACGATCTTGCAGTCCATGGTTCAAGCCCCGCGTCGGGCTCTGTGCTGACAGCTCAGAGCCTGGAGCCTGCTTCAGATTCTGTATCTCCCTCTCTCTCTGCTCCTTCCCAACTCACGCTCTGTCTCGGTCTCTCAAAAATGAATAAGAACGTTAAAAAAAAAAAAAAGAAAAGAAAACAAAAAACAACCAAATGCAGCATTCTCCAGTTCCTACTGTGTCATTACCTCAGCCTACCTCAAAAACTTGTCATGAAATTCATCCAGTGCAAAAACAATTTACCGAATTCAAGTTTTTCTGGAAAATGAGTCATATTGCTGTATCACCAATGTACCTTACATAACAACTGACAAATAGTTATTTTCCCCCTAATTTCCAGAATCATAAGTAGAAATCATGCCTGTATTTTTGAAGTTCTAATTAAAAAATACTGCACTATATAATTTTTTTTAATTTTTATTAAAAAGTAAAAACAGTACTAAAACCAAGTTTATGTGAAGTGATAGACACATATGGAGGGATGTTGTTACTGTTATTGTTATCACAAAAGTCATTTCCAGTCTTCTTCGTTGTCAGCACTCTTGTGTTTTTTATCCTTTTCCCTCATCTGGTGGGGGATCCTGTGTCACATTCCTTCCTTGTGTGAGGCACGGCCATGTTTTACTTCAAAACATTATGATTCAGACAAATACTCCTTTATATTACATAAAAACAAATATCTTACACAAAGACAAATATTTGTATTATTATATTGTCTGGGTGTTTCTTGGAAACACACTCAGAAATGACTCATTTCTTAGAAAATAAAGTAATAAAGCATTCCACTTTGTCCAAGACAAGACTGTATCACACACGAGTAAGGCTAGCACGTAATAAGTCACATTTCACTTTCTCAAGATTGTTTCAGCAATGAGTAGACTCATAAACTGCCCTTTGCAATGAAAAACAGGAACTGGGAGGGGAAGGCAGGGCAAGAGCTTAAATGAGAAAAATAGGTTGAAATTAAACTTTGACGTAGCTGGGGGAAATGGTAGTTCAATTACACTGCATATAAATAATTGCCCTGGTTACATATGTAAAGAAGTTTGAAAGAAGGCACAGGTCACAGTTAGAAGTGTCACCAGGAGGTACTGCCTTAAGGCTTAAGGTCAAATGATCCTCAAACTGACATTTACCTTGAGGCTTTCTCCCTTAGACAAGGCCAGTCCTCCCCTTTGTAGGCTGTGATATTTCACGTTGTCAGCACAGTGAATTCGGCTCTTAAGGATTTAAGCTCAGGGGAGATGGAGGGACAAACAAGAAAGCCAACATACCCGTTTACACTGAACCGTGCAGTTTTCAGGACCCTCTCGAGGGTCTCCTCCGGCCAGCCCAGGGACACTGCCTGAGAGCCGTGCATTTTGTGAGCCTGGCTTCAGAGCCAGTTACGTGACTTTTAGTCCTTTCATCGCCACAGCAGAACACAACTGCCTTTAGGACTCAATGCATTAAGTTGCGGGGAGATGGGGGTCTTCTGCCTTCCTAGTGTGCCAACCTTGACCTCTCAGTCCGTCGTCTTCCTGCCTCCCACATGGCACTTGTCCTTATTCCCCCATCTCTTCCTGGATGGCACATTCTTTCTCCTCCTTCATCATATTGATCTGGTCAAACAAGGTTCTTGAGCTTCCTGTTGATAGCATGTGAAATGCTTTATTTTCTAAGGTGAATCTTGCCAATATTTGATCTCAAGGACCACGTGATGCTTTTATTCAAGTTTTCAACTCTGCTAGTAAGAAGTAGTGTTACTTTTCCCCAGGGAAGAATATATGTGGCCTGCTTTTTGATGGTATCATCTCCAAATCCTTAGCTTTCAACTTCCATCTGAGGGACAAATATTCTTACTATTAAATTGGCTTCATAAGCACAAATTTCTTGCAAGGGAAGTCTGGAATAGGAGATTTTATAACTAAAGGGACATCTGGTACCCGGGGCACAAGAAGGTTGTTGAAATAACAATAGACTAGAATTTGAAGGGCCTGGGTTCTCAACCCTATTCAGCTTCAAGAGCTCTGGCTCTCCCTCTCCTTCCCCACCTCTCTCTCCCTCTCCCTCCTCCACCCCCTCTGCTCAGGTGAGGACAGCCAGAAGGCAGCTAGTATCCACCAGCCAGGCATCAAGCCCCCACCAGGAACCAAATCAGCCAGCATCACGATCTTGGATTCCCGGCCTCCAGGGCTATGAGAGATAAACGTTTGTTGTTTAAGCCACATAGTCTATGATGGAATCTTTTAGGACCCTGAGATACCCAAAGCCCTATAGTTACTACCAGATTCAAACCCTGTGCTAAAAATAGATGCCAAATGAAATTACAAAAATGTCTGAAGAAATTGCCCGCAGGGCAGCCTACTAAATGCCAGTAGTCCCAG